ACATGGACACTTTACTTCAATATCATACTTCTTAAAAACACTTGCCTAACCTTTGAGTTGTCGTTATGTGACCGCATCTTGAATCCAATCCAACCATTGCCAAAATCATTCTGATTAATAAGAACAACATTCAAAGACTCCACAAATTCCCACTCGAATAACTTATAGATGGAGAAAGTATATACTTCAGTCGCGTGCGACAATAATGGATTATTTCTAACAATTTGGCCCGACCTCCTGTGGCTACAATGAGCATCATCATCTTTCTCAACCAAACTCCATTTATCTTGAACTTTTTCATAGTTAAAAACAAACTGATGCAAAGTAAGAGCCTTATTGCCCAGGTGTTTCAAAACTGGTTTGTAATCTCACTTCTTGAAGTGGCTAGAAGACCAACTGAGATATAATTTAATAATACCGATAAATCTAAATATATGACAAATCCATTATTCAAACAGATTAAAGTCGGTTTATGCGATCAAACTGAAATTGTCGAATGATGAATGTTTTGAAATAAAATGAGCGAGTACTTAAATATATAATTTAAGTACCATTCATTGACGACAACACAACCAATATTAAGACAATCCAATTAATAAAATTCGATAAATAGAATAATCCTAGAAATTATATAAATCAAACGGGCCGCTACACTCAAACTCATTTTCAAAATCACAAAATGTCAGCATTTATGCCACAATTTCTTAAACTCTGAATCACCATTCAAATTTCCAAAATGGGATTAAGCATTTTGATTGATATGCCACTGACATAAGCGATGATGCAAATGAGTGAACACTTTATCAATAGCATTCATCATAGCTTGACATTGATTGGAAAATACAACTTGAGGTTGTTTTCCATTCATAAAATCAAGAAAGTTGAAAACAACCACTCAAACAAACTCCCCGTCTCATCAGAACAAAAGGGAAGGCCAAACATCACATTTTTTTATGGTGATTAATACCAACAAATGGAGCACAAATCAAATTGTACTTATTTGTTTTGTTAGTTGTATAAACTGATAAAACATCACAAAAAAATCATAATCAACTGCACATCTACAATGCTAGAAGAAAAAATTCATGATCCGATTATCATCATCCAATTGAACATTCCAGAAAATTGATTTCCCCATTATCCTTGTTTATAAAATATTAAAGCAAAGAAGCACCATCTCCATCTTCAACTTTTGTATGTCGTTTCATACGATCAAAATGATCATATGCATCTTTTTTTGTAAAACTCAAGTTTTATGCACCATGAGCCTCATTTTCCATAAAAGGAACATCATTAGTAACACTAATTTCCGCATTCACCAAAGCTTCTAACGTTGAGTTTTTGGAATGTGAGATATTACGTGATGAACTTAACAAATGAGTTTGATTAGGCTGAATCATATCATGATTGTGTTCCACATAAAACCTGCTCACTTGCCATTCCCCTCCTCTCTCCCTCGCAACTCTAAGTCTCGCTTTGCATTTTGTTCTAGTTATTGATTTCAGATACCCTGGAATAATATTCTTAGAACGTTTTTCATCTTTAACTCCTTCACAAGAACATTTAATTCTTTCATTTGCAGTTCTTTAGTGCTCCAAAAGTATCGTTGATCACCTTTTTTAACGCTAAAACCTTTGGCATGCGCATATTGACGGTAAAGTAAATATGCCTCTTCAATGTTATTTATTTTTATGCCATCTGATAGTCTATTTCTAAATGCTCTACCACCGATTCAAAAGACTGAACCTCAGGATTTGGTGTTGAAGAACACCAATAAACTTGTTCTTGAAACTTTCACCATTACCCTCGATATTTTCACATTGCTCCGCAAAATGGTCAGGATTTGGTGTTGAAGAACACCAATAAACTTGTTCTTGAAACTTTCACCATTACCCTCGATATTTTCACATTTCTCCGCAAAATAATGCTCCATTAGTTCAGTAATACCTACATACAACAAATATATCAACTCATAAACTTATACAAAAGGAAAAAAATATTAATTTGTTAATCTATGATATGTTAACTGTTAAAATCACACACTCAACTCAATAAGATTCCCAGCAAAAAATAAACATACTATTTATATGTTAAAAGAGAAAAAACCATCTAAGAATATTGGTTCACTGGTCCTGTGTGATATGATATGCTTTGTGTGCCATACATTCAATATGATATATCCACTTATCAGAATTACTAGCTTTATTGCATGAGACCACCTCCTTTTTAATAAGCTAAAAGAAAAGTAAGCATTGATTCCGCATATGTGCTTTTATCCACGTTCATACAACATACTGTTTATATGTTAAGTACCTTCATTATTTAGAATAAACATACTAGTTATAATCACACTCAGTTCAATAAAAATCGCTTGCTTCAGACAAAAATCTCTAATATTACTTGTGGTTCATTATTTAGAAAATCACTTCAGAACAGAGTTTTGAAAATCCCCTACATGTGGTTCATTATTTAGAAATAAAAACTTGACAATTCATTAAAAAGCAACATAGTTCTAATGAAGCTAAAGCTAAAGAGATGTAAAGTAATGAATGAGCAATTCATTGAACCTGGTCAATTCATATATAACTAGAAAAAAAGCAACATAGTTTCTAAGGTTCATTATTTAGAAAAAAATGATTGAAAAAAGCAATTTATTATTTCTATTAGGGATTGAAAATCCCTAATTCTAACTGTACACAGTTCATTTTATTTTTCTTCAGAACAAAAAAAAAATCGCTTCAACCGTCTCCTTGGAGAAGAACAAAACGATTTTCAACAAGCAATCAACACGCAATTTTTCTACCCGTGGTTCGAGAAGAACTACAATTTTTGGAGAAGAACAAAGCGATTTTCAACTGTCTCTTTGGCGAGATTAAGAGATATCAAGTAGATAGAGCAATAATTTCCATCTCCTCTCTGAGATTGGGTGATAATTTTTTCAGATGATATGACCAAAATTTCAGCGATGAGAAAGGGTTTTGGGGCGATGATAAATTCAAATTTCAGATCTTGTACGACCTTTGTATTTTTTTGTTCTTAATTAATTATTATTTTAACTAAACTTGTAACCATGGTAGCAGGTTAAAGTAATAAAAAAAAGAAGCAAAACAAAAAGTTGGACGAAAAGGAAAAGAGAAAGCAGAAGAGTAATTATCTACTACGTGGCTTTGTGTGATTGGAGTACAGTAAAAACGGGTACTACCCTTACGGGTAACATTGAATAAACCAATAAAATGATCGTATGTCGTTGACATTTGACAAAGAGAAAAAAGAAAAAGAGAAAAAAAAACCACTTGAATATATGCTTTTATTCTTAAATCTATTCAGTTATGAGTAAATGTGATAATTATTAGGGACAATTTCTTTTGCATCCCAATATATACATGCACTTTCTTTTACACATTGTCCCATCAAAATACTTCTTTTTCACTACTCGACTCACGAAATTATATGCGATATATAATCGCATATCTAAATGAAGCGCATAATTAACAATTATGAAAGATTTTGTCGTATATATCCAAATGCATATTCAAATCGGATGTATAGTTAATAATTATGCGAAACACATTCGCATATTTGTTAATCTGATATCCAAATCCACTATATAATTCTTGATATGCGAAATTATTTTGCACATATAATTAGCGTATATCCAAATTGATAGCCGCACATTTACCGTTTTGCGATATTTTTTCACATATTTTATGGCTCACATATCCAAATCGGACGAATAGTTAACAAGTATGCGAAACACTTACGCATATTATGTATATCATATCCAAATACGCCGCATAATTAACCATATGCGAGAAAATTTTGCAAATTAATTTAGCGCATATCCAAATCGAATGTCGCATATTTTAGGATTATACGAAATGTTTTCGCATAGTTTTCAACTTGTATATCTAAATCTATACTGCCGTATAAACAACGATTATGCATAACATGTTTGCAAATTCAGAAATCACATTATGTAAATAATTTCGCATAGTTTATGACTCGCATGTCTAAATTCGACTCATAGTTAATAAATATGCAAATTATTTTCACATATTTTGTAATCACATATCTAAATCCACCTTATAATTTGACATAAGCGTAAAATTATCGCATATCCAAATCGAACATTACATGCATGGGGCCCAACCCCCTGAATTCTTTTTAAATCAATATACATATATATAATACTATAAAATATGTATATAAATATAAAAAATATTTACAATATATTAATAATTAAAACTTATTAAAAATCAATATTTACACACACACATATATATAAAGAATACTATATGTATAGAAATGAAAAAAATATTTACAATATATTACTTATTAAAAACTATTTCCTATGCTATTCTTATTTAACAGTATTATTTATTTATTGAAAAATATACTAACAATTCTTATATTTTAAATTTATGGATTAACTTTTAAAAATATTTGTAATGTTTTATTTTATTGGTCTCTTAATTGTAATCGATTTAGTGATTTAGTAATTGAATATTTATTAGTTGGTTTGTTACATTTCTTAAGGTTGATTTTTTACTCTATTTTTTTTATTCATATATTTTTAATTTTATTTATTTCTTTTAAAAAACTATTTAATTGATAAGCTTTCATAACAAAAATGGTATGCAATTTTGTGTAAAAAAAGTTCAATTTAACTTAATTATCTAAACCGGGGGTTGGATGGGTGAACCGGATCTTTCTGCCGGCTTCGGTGATTGACAACATTGCTCAGAATAGTTGATATCTTCACTACTCGGGCGCTCAGTCGCTCACAGACATGACGACGCCCATTCACGAAACCACAGCTCAGTAGAGCGGCCAATCAAAGCAATACATTTTCCGGTGAAACTCTTTCCTTTTCCGGTTTCAGCTACGGCGAACCAAGCACCGACTGATTTTTGATCGGTGATCGAACGTTGCGGGATTAGGTAATTCCTGTGTTAGGGCTTTTAATTTTATCATTGAGTTCGGCCTTGGTCCTGCTATGCATGGGAGAGAGAAAGAGGAAAGGTGGTCCATTACAGCTTGACTGGGAGATACTACTTTCCCACTGCGAAAGCGAGCCTCCGCCGATTGTGGTGATTGAGGCGGAGGTATCAAACCCTCAAGCGGCGGAGGTGATGGACGAGCAGGAACATTACGGGGACCCAAGTCTCCATAATTTGCCTGAGAAAGAGCTGCGTGACAGGGTTGATAGGGTCAGAAATATGTTGAGTGGTGGTAGTTTATTGTGCAAGTTGGGCGATGGTGGTGCGAAACTGCGAGTTAGTCTGAAAAAGGCTGAAGCAGAGTTGGAGAGGAGGCACCGCCAGAAGGTCTGCAACTTTAGCACATATCATTTACGAATTTATTTATTTCTCTTCCTTGCCTGTAAGAGCTGGGATTACACTATTATTGGATTTTCTTTAGTATTGTATTAAAGTGTTGCTATTGCACAGAATATCATCCAGATTACAGGTAAAGATATGTGATGTCTCCTGTTTTCTTTGGCTGCCTCTGATTTTATCCCTAGATATTTGGATTTTCTTGAAACAAAGTGCAATTATTGATTTTTCAATGATGAATACTAGTATCATGAATCGATGCCGAGGTGTAATGAGCATGATTGTCATTGACGTTATGAAACCTTGTTTAGTTTGGAGTTGGTGTATCATACATATTGTGCGGTTGTCTTCGTGTTACTTAAATGTGCTTTGGTCTTTTGTATGAGAACATTAATTATAGTTTGTCTTTGTGATGATAATTACTGCACAGGTTAACGACAAATGCAAGAAGGTGGCTCCATTAGCCGACCACTCAATCTCCAATGGTGAGATTTTACATGGCATTAGTCGTTTAGTATTTGATATCTGTCTTCATTTCAATTGAGCCTGAAGATGATGGCTATATTTTATAGTTCTGGAGAACTTTGCTGGGTCTTAACAGCAGTTAATACTACTACAAGTCTACATGTAGAACGAACACTATCAGCATTTGTTTCTGTAAAAGCCACATTGTCTTAGCAATTAGCACCTTGTTTGAATTCACTTACATGTTCAATTTATGAAGCTTTTTATTTTTCTAAAATAATCGAGACATACAAAAGTGAACGTGGCTGGTTAATGAATTGCAAGGTTTTGACAAATTGAGTTGGCATGTTGTCTGAGCTTTATTTGATGGTCCGGGTTTCATATCCGCTCTTAAGAACTTAAAGCTTAATGTATGTTGTAGGTGCTACTGATGGTGTTGCAACTCGTGGTGGTCCTCCTCTATCTGTGTCAAGATCGGAGTTTGCTTCACATTTTTGTGGCAAGTTGGATGCAAAAGTATTGACTTTATTGTTAAGTTATTCATGTAGTAGTCTCGATGGAGATAAGTCTGATCTCACACCCCCTTTTATTTATTGTTCAAACAGAGTCCAGCCAAGTCTTTCTCAGGATTATCTACTTTTAATCCTTGTAATCAGAAAAGAGAAAATGAGTCATTGTTCGCTCAGAAGACAGGTTTATCTGCAAGGAAAGAACCTTTTAAATCACCTAATCATCTTTCAGTACCGACAAATGACTCTTCTCAATCAATCCGTGAGCAATCAGGAGGCTGCTCTTCTTGTTCCCCGCCTTTTATGTCTAAGAAAGGTTACTCTAACTATCATGAGAAGAGGTATTATTTGTGTAGTGATTTTATTGTTGTTTCTTGACTTGCAATTGGAAAGAGTGATATATGATTTGCAAAAGTATGGTATTCTTATTTGATTTATTGTTATTTTTAGGGAAAATGCTACTCGTTTTCAACCTATCCGAACCTCCAAAAGGAACAACGTAAGTTCACCAATCCTGAGTTGGCTCTCTTCCCTGCTTTCCGTGGTTTATGTTGCCATTTTCTACTGCTGAAAACGTGTTGTCTGCAACTTCCAGTGTGTTATTTGGTAGAGATTGATCCTTGAGATGAAAACTGTAAAATGGCCTTAGTAGAATTCAAGTTATAGAAAATGTCAGTTTCAGATGCATCCGAGGATAATTTTTTTTTTTTTTTTATATGAACAGAACTTCGTGGGGCAAGTTTTCTGGGTGCTCAATATCTTCACAGTGCAATCTCTATCTCATTTCATACTTTATGATTAATATCTTTTGTTGACAATTTTTTGAAATCTGGCTTCTTCCAGGATGCAATCACGAGTTCTTGTTTGTCAGCTGAGCATGTTCTTACCCTTTTCCCCCAAGTTTTATATGCCTACCAAATTGTTTAAGACTCCCTTTTCATTTTCCCCTGTTGTTTTGTATCCACGATGATCTTTTTAAAATGTTGAAGCAGTGTAATGGTACTCTTTATCATTTATTGTAAACGTAACCTTTTCAATGCTACATGCTGACAATAAATTTTCAGCGGAAAACTGTTGTTCTGGTAGATGAGGAAGAGCTTGAGGTTGAAACAGTTAATCAAGGGGACCCAATGGGTCAAAGGTATTCTATAGCTCATCCAACTCATTATTAGCCTCAAAAGTGCTCTCGTTTATATTTCCTTGAATTGGTCAACCACATGATATCAACGGTTGGAATTCATTTACGCTTATTCCTGTGTCTTTGTTTGTTTCAGCAGTCAAGATAGTACGATATACTATCCATCGAGGTATTGTTTCATCAATGTAATATTCAACAAAGATACGGAGTTATCTGACGTATCTATTGTACTAAATATTTCTTTACATGTATCCTAATAAGTTATTGCTAGTTTCTGACAATAGGGATGATCCTGAAGCTGTCCAAATTTATTACTCAGACATGGAATGTTTGGCTCCTCAATCTTATGTGTCTTCAACGATCATGAACTTTTACATTCGGTAAGCAGATAGAATGTGGTCATTTTGACTAATCTAATATTGAGTTTAATCTTTAATGTAAGAATAATGAAGAATGATGTCTCTCCCTGCACAGAAAGACCAAATGCCTCTTAATTTCCTTGTCTTTCTGCTTCTGGTTCAGTTTGTTTAGTACCTTACTTAGTTGAGGCATTTATTTTTCAGTATGTTCATTGCATTGTGAAATTATACATTACATACTGGCTAGCACCTAAGAACTTGTCCACTGTCACCTTCTTAAACAAAAGAACCTTAAAACTCATAGTTAAATAGTTCACTTGTCTGTTCTTCCTAATATTTTGTTGGTTCTCCTAGCTTGTAAGCTACATGAGATAAATCTTGTCATGTAAAAGAAATGGGTTTGGATCTGCATTTGCTGGAAAAAATACTAGTCATGGTATAATTGGAATTATATACGCCTTTCTGCAGTTGCTGTGAATTAATGTTTAGATGCTTGTTTACTGATCTACTTTGTTTAGGTGTTTGCAGAAGCCAGTGTCTCCAAGTACAACAAAAAGATGTGACTATCACTTTTTTAATACATACTTCTATAACAAGTTGAAAGGGGATGTCTTGACCAAGGTACCAGCTTCTTCCGAGCCGAAATTTTTGGACGCTATTCCGGGCTAGTAATTATCAATTTTATTTCTATTTATGGCAACAAATGTTAATCAAGATTATATAACGGTATACCTAAATATGTATTGAAGAATTATCACTTGGACTTGGCTTCTATGTATCAATTCTAGTTTCCTAGTCAATCAATATTGGTTTCATTTGAATGGTTCTTTGAAATGAGACAACTGTGAGTGCTGATATTTGACTTAATAGATGTTTCATGGGCTTGTTGATTTTTTTCTTTTTTTTTTGGCAATGCATTAGAAAACCTTGAAATTAGTTCATCTTTTAATATCACTCCTTTTTGTTTTAATGGAAAAACTTGTAGTAGTACCTCATTCGTTTAATTACACAAATCACAAATGTTAATAAAAACTTGTAGAAGTTTTTATTTTATTTTTCAATTAATTTTAAAATACTGCATCACAAAATAGTTTTTCGAACTCATATCATATAGTATGCTATCGTAGATAAATTTATTTTGTTTGATAAGTAGAAATTTTATTATTTTCCAACTAAAATCAATAGGTAATTTACTTATTTTTTATAATCTTTTTATTTTATGTTTGCAATTTGGAATAAAATCGAAGATCGTGATAAGATGATTTATTTAATATTATCATATATAAAATTCTTATAACTATTTTTTTTTTAAGTTTTAAATTTATATATCCAAGTGTTTTATTATTTTAAGAGTCTTATTAGGCACGGATAGAAGTTTGAATCTACATGGAAGCATATATTGACACATAAGATTACAAAGCACTATAAATTGGCACATAGGATCTCGAAGCACCACAAGCTGTCACGTAGGCTTGGGAAACTATGAATTTATATATAGGGAGGATAAGATTTCTGACATCATAACTGTGTGCAACATTGAGTCATTTGCTTCTACGAAAGCTGATTCTCACGTGCGCTTTTGTTGAATTTTCATGTTCCTATGGTGCAGGCTAATAAGGAAACTTCATTTAAGAAGTTCAGGAGGTGGTGGAAGGGCGTCAATATATTTGAGAAAGCTTATATCTTTCTACCAATTCATGAAAAGTGAGTATTAGGATCAATTGCCAGTCTCTTTAGACATTAGAGTGAAGTATTTTTTTTTTTA